ATATATATATATATGTATATATGGATTGTGTTTTGTGATAGGGTAGTGAGGATTGTGGGGGAGACACAAGAATGTAGCTCAGTGTTGATTTACGGAGGTAAGTGAATCTGATACAAGAATAGAGGAATATTTGGACGTGTTAAGTGTAAAGGCAAGCGTGATTTGTTGCAAAACTATGCAATGTGGATAGAGGGAATATGCAGAGTTAAGCTAGTATGTGAAGAGGAAAGTGATTAATGGTTTGAGGAAGATAAGGTTGAATTCCGCGAGTTTATCTTGCATTATTTTAAAGTACATGTTTCTAGAAACAGCTGTATGGGCTGTTAAATGCATAATGTTCTCAACTGTCTTATTCAACCTGCCAGGTCTGTTCATAGTTTAGTATTCCATTTTGCAGAACAGAATGTTGCTTCTCTGACTTATTTTAATAGTTTTAATATAGTGTATGGTTGAAAGTACATCAACCACCACCCTAAAGATGGCGCCTGCCAGTCCCGTGACCTATCCACAGTCACGGTTGCTTCTAAAGTAACGTCACTTCCGCCCTTACCATGCCCACACCTCCTGTCTTCCTTTCCCACACATATCATGGACGTCACCCCTCTCACTTCCTCCCTTGCTGTCATTTCCTTCCCTGCCCCTGTCATGGCTGCCTCCATCATGAGGCCTACCCCTATTATGCTCGTCCCATTTAGATAATTACTAAAACAATCATGCCATTTGTTTCCCTGTATCAACAATTTGTCCGTGATATAAAAAAAAAAAAAAGAAGGTTGCTAAAATGTAATTTGCAAATGTGGTGTGACCTACAAATGAAATCTGTTGGACACGAATATAAGAGCATAACAGCTGATTATCCAGATTAATCTTGCAACAAGGGAAATAGCCAAATAATGCAAGTTATTTTAAACATTGTATCTTTGCTTAATCGAATCTTGCTAGTTACAGATCGTATGTTTACAGTAACATCCTTTACTTTAAATGATGGTTTAGCATTAGAAGGGTTTGTGGCATGTTTTATTAACCCAGCCACTACTGGTTGTTTACTTAGTTACAGGGTGGTATAATTGTTATAGTCTAATTAATATAAATGATAGTACCGCAATAGTTAATGTTTTATCCAAAGACATATAGGAACTTTACTTAACTTACTATTAACCATTATTTATAATGATAGACATGTTCAGACTGCAAAAAAGCTATGGCTAATGACATAGAAAGGGGTTTGAGTCAGTAACACAGCCCATACTGAGGAGAGCAAACCCGCTGATGCTTAATGCCCCTGCCATGGCAGTGTCTTCAGGGGAACAGGGGGGGCCTCTAGCTACTGTAATTTTACCCATTGAGGGCCAGCCCACCACTTTCCTAGTTGACACAGGTGCAGCCCGAAGTGTTCTGAGAGAACAAGACCTGCCCGATACCTCATTTCTTTCCAATATTGATGTCTCCTGTGTTGGGGTGGACGGCCTTCCAAGGCAAGGTCCCCTGTCCACCCCACTGCGGGTTGGTAACTGCCACAACTTGCTTGCTCGCTTTGTGGTATCTTCCACATGCCCCATTAACCTGTTAGGAGCTGATGTTCTTTCACGCCTGCAGGCATCCATCACCTTTACCCCAGATGGACAAGTGGAACTATCCACCCCTCTATCTGTCTCAGACACCTCAGCTTTGTGCTCCTTACCCCTGATGCTACATCTAGAAGAGCCTCATGGGGATGCAAAAGACCTAAGGACTAATTTCCCTGATTCACTAAAGACTGATGTTCCCAAGAAGCTGTGGTCCACAGGCCCAGAGGACATAGGCCATCTAAAGGTCCCGCCTGTGGTGGTAAAGTTCATCCCAGGCGTAAAATTGCCACGAAAATCACAGTATCCTTTGAAACCAGCTCAAGCTGCAGCCATTACAATTCAAATTCAAGCACTCCTGGAGAAGGGTGCTCTTGTCAAATGTGAATCACCATGCAATACTCCATTATTTCCAGTAAAGAAAAAGACTCCAAAAGGCGAACCAGAAAAGTACAGATTGGTCCAAGACCTCAGAGCGGTAAATGAAGCCACAGTTTTGAACACTCCAATAGTGCCCAACCCACACACTCTCCTTTCCGGCGTTCCACCCTCTGCCAAGTACTTCACTGTCATTGATCTAGCCAATGCCTTCTTCAGTGTTCCCCTGGATCCAACTTGCCAATATCTGTTTGCTTTCACACATGACAAACAACAGTACACATGGACTGTCATGCCCCAAGGGGCACAAAATTCACCAAGTCAATTTGCGAATGCCATGTGCTCTATCCTTGATCCATGGCAATCTGACCATCCTGAGGTCGTCCTGCTTCAATATGTGGATGATTTGCTGCTTTGTGGAGATGATATACCCACAACAGAACAATGCTCACTTAATCTTCTTTGCTACCTAGCAGAACAAGGATGTAAAGCTTCACGTCTCAAGCTGCAATTCTGCCAACCTACTGTTATTTTCCTTGGCCATTGTCTGTCTCAGGGAACCAGACATCTTACCCGTGACTGAGTTAGAGCGGTACTGGACATTCCACCTCCAAGGACCTCGAAGTCACTACACGCCTTCCTAGGCCTCATTTCCTATTGCCGAGCATGGATCCCAGAAGCCTCGCTCCTTATGCAACCTCTTTATGATGCTCTCAAGTCAGACCCATTTTGCTTGTCCACAGAAGCCCTTGACAACTTCTGTTCTCTCAAAAGTACTATTGCTTCTGCTCCTGCTCTTGGCCTACCAGACTATACCAAACCCTTCAAACTGTTTGTTTCTGAAAGACAAGGCCATGCAACAGGAGTGCTCACTCAGGCCCATGGTCCTGGAGGCCGCCAAAGGCCTATTGGATTTTTCTCCTGCCAACTGGATATTGTGGCCAGAGGACGTCCCTCTTGCCTTCGGGCCGTCTTTGCTGCCAGAGAGCTCATTGAAAGAACTGGAGATCTTGTCCTTGGCCACCTCCTGGTTGTCTTGGCCCCTCATGACATTTCTGCCATAGTCAACCAGGTCCAGCTTAAGCATGTTACTCCTGCCAGGCATCTTCGCCTTCAATGTCATCTTTTGTTGCCTGACAACATTACCCTCCAAAGATGTCAAGTTCTCAATCCGTCCACTCTTCTGCCACTCCCTGAGGGGGGTGTATACTACGGATTCATCATGGACGAAATTTATGTTTCTCTTCTCACTGGCACCATCAAGAAGGAAATGCATCCCAACCTATCCTTTTATGATGGACAAGCACTCCTTCATGACGGAGCAAGACATGCCTTCTGTACCATGTGGTACAAACCAAACATCACTCCTGAACCCTGCTATGAAGATGAACTCTATAAGCTGGTTGAAGTAAAACTCACTGCACAAGACTTCTACTGTGATTCTGAAGGCAACAGTATGGTCTTGATTCATCTACCTCCGGAACTCAAGCATTTGTACTGTCATTGGGACACTGCCATTCCACATGTCCCTGTGACCAAGTTGAAAACAATATCATGGAATGATCTTGGGCCTATGGCAAAAGCATGGGCCACTATGGACGAATCACAGCTACAGGAAAATGGTGTTGTCAAATATCCAACAATTGACCACCTAAAAGCATGGCCACGTCATTTCCTGGAGAATGAGTTCCAAGATTTAACCATAGTGAATGACTACGACCTAGATACACCTCATGACTGTTTTGAACAGATGAAAATGGAAACAACACATCTACCAACTGTGCATGAAGACCCATTGGTAGAGCCCGATCTCACCCTGTTTGTGGACGGCTCAAGATATGCTGATGAAGAAGGAAGATACCATACAGGATATGCCGTAACCACAACAGATGAAATTGTCAAATCATCATCTTTACCATCAACTATGTCTGCACAAGAAGCTGAATTGCAAGCCCTGACTTCAGCATGCAAGATCTCTGAAGGAAAGCGCGCCAATATCTACACGGATTCAAGATATGCACTGGGCGTGGCTCACGACTTCGGATTAATTTGGAAAACAAGAGGATTTCTTACCACCGCCGGTACACCAATCAAGCACGGTTCCGCAATCAAGGAGCTGATGGACGCCCTCCTACTCCCAGAAGAAGTGGCTATTTTGAAGATAAAAGCACATGGGAAGTTGGACTCAGATGAAGCAAAGGGCAACCATCTAGCTGATCAGGCTGCAAAACAAGCTGCAAAAGAACCACAGGAAGTGGAAAGAAGAGTGTCCGGAAATGAAGAAACTCCCATATTTACTCTGCAGACTCTTCCAACTGACCTGAAAATCCTGCTGGAACAACAGGCTACAGTTGCCCCTGAAGAAATACAGAAGTGGAAACAGAAAGGGGCAGTTCTGAAGGATGGAGTGTACTCCAACAACCTCAATTTCTGCCTCCCTAAGAATTTGTACCCAGCAGTCGTACAATGGGCACACAGACCTGCACATTTATCAAAAGATCTAATGAATGCTCTTGTACAAAAATACTACCTCATTGTCCCCATATGAGATTCTATTTGGGACTGCACCTAGGCTAGGTTGCTATTTTCCCCAACAACTACAACTTCAAACTGATGTTTTAGTAGATTATGTAACTGAACTCGCAAATGCTTTGAACAAAATCCATGCCCAAGTTTTCTCTTCAATTCCAGATCCTGATTCTGACACAGGCAACCACAGTCTGCTCCCCGGTGACTGGGTTCTGGTCAAGAAATTTGTGCAAAAACACACCCTGGAACCAAGTGACGGACCGTTCCAAGTTCTCCTGATCTCCCCTACCTCTGTCAAATTGGCCGGAAGGCCTAACTGGATCCACGCTTCCCATTGCAAGAAGACACCTGCCCCAGAGGAAGCTAACTCTATGCAACCATGTGCCTCTAGTACATTATCTCCTTAGTTGGCCTCCTTAAAGCCCAGCAGGTGGCCATCACCAAAGATGCTAGTGGGTACACTTTCTGGTATAATTCATCATGTACCCATGTGACTACATTCACTTTTGATTACTGTGATATTGTAGAGTGCCCATTCCCTAAGTCACAGATTCAAGCCATTTATAAAGATATACCACAAGCAAAAGACCCTTACGTTTGTGTAGTAGATGAACAATGGGGTTATGACTGTAACTACTGGGGGGCTGCGGGATGGAATACTGGGCCTGCCTGGGGTTATAAACCCAAAAGTGCTTTATCTAAGATAGACAATCAGGGTAGATCCCTCCTTCAAAGAATGACTTTAAGAAAGCCTGGAGGAAGTACCCCTATGAAATTAATGTTAAATATTGAACATCCTGGCCCCGAGGATGCAGACCGATATGTAATGGGAATGTATTGGAAGAAAGGTTCCTACAACAAATTAGGTCATTTCTACCTCAGAGATATGTCCCACTCTCCAGAGTGGCAAGGGGCTGATCATATGGTCCCAAATCCGCTAAAACCACATATCCAGTCCTTTAAAGATATGATGGCCATCGCTAACCCCACTTTTGAAGATACCATGGCCGCTGAAACTGGATTCAATGACATTAATTTGTGGTTAGAATGGATGAGGTATAATGCTAACAAACATAATAAAACAGCATGTTATGTATGTGGCGGTGCCCGACCCCACCTTGGCACCGTCCCCCTAACTCTCCCTTTAGAGATAGAAGATTGCTTCTTAAGCCTTTTTGCCTACCAATATGACTTTAATAGGTCCCTCTGCATGGCATGGACGGCAGAATACCCTCTCTTAGTTGAAAATGTTAAGCCACCAGATGGAGTCACAGTCTATAGAGGTAATTACACTTGTTATGCTATGTATGACAGGATTGGTAAATTCATGGGTAACTTTTCTAAAGGTTATTGCGCCACTTACAGAACTGTTCCTATACGCCTGTTGCAACACCATACCAGGTCATTGGGGGATATTTACTGGTTATGTGGGGATCTACAGTTAAGATCTAGGCTGGAAACTGAGTGGTGGGGTGAGTGTACCCTGGCCAAAGTTATCATGCCCATTCATATTATTTCTGATAATCATCATGACACATACGACCCTCCACATACATCAGCCAGAGTAAGGCGCGAAACCCCAGTAAAAGGCAGTTTTGACCCCCACATTTACATAGATGCCATTGGGGTGCCTAGGGGGTACCTAATGAATTTAAAGCTAGAGATGAAGTAGCTGTAGGTTTTGAATCACTTTTTACCATAGTCACTGCCAACAAAAACCTTAATTGGATTAATTATATCTATTACAACCAACAGCGCTTCGTGAACTACACCAGGGATGCCCTCCAGGGCTTGGCCGAGCAATTACAGGCCACATCCCAAATGACCTTCGAGAACAGACTGGCCTTAGACATGATCTTAGCCGAAAAAGGGGGGTCTGTAAAATACTTCCCGACACTATGACTTGTTGCACTTACATTCCAGAAAACACAGGTCCTAATGGTAAAGTCACTCTGGCCATAGCTAAATTAAATAGACTCTCAGAAGAGTTAAAGAGAAACTCTGGAGGTACTGATCCCTGGGAAAAATGGTTTGGTTGGATGACTGGTTGGCAGAGAGCTTTAGTCCAGATTGGTATTGCCTTACTAATTTTTCTTTTTATTCTCGCTCTTCTCATTTGTTGTGTCCTCCCATGCCTAAGGAAATTCCTGCAGAAAACTGTAGACCAAGCAACACCAACCTTCACTCATCTGACAATCGATGATCAAGATCTCATCTCACCCTGTATTCCGCTACAAACTCTCCCTTATACTGATGAAGTGCAGAAAGTCTAGGAAGGGACAGTACAGGGACAGCGTCCGTCTTTATGGGTAGACTGCCGTACGGAGAAGTAGTGGATAAGCCACTATGGGTTACCAGCGGAGTGAAGAGTGTTCCTGAACCGTACTGACGGATGTGCTGCAGCCTGTTAGGGTCAAGAGAGGGATAGACTTGCACTTTGCATTAACACTAAGTCAGCGGTCATGGGGTTTCTGTGTCTTTGGGCTAATACTTCTTCTGATACTAACAAATAAAGTTTTGTCTTTTAGCAAATAACATTTTAGGGGGGACTGTTGTAGAATTATTAGGCCTCTATAAATTTGTAAGGCCCCTTTAAATCCTCTTGCTATACCTCTAAGAGGCCCCCATAGTTTTACAAGGAAGCTTTGTCTATAGAACATAGAATTTGCATGTCAGCAAGAAATAGCTTTGATAAAATGTGTATTTACTAAAATCCTTGAAACTTAACCTTGAGAAACTAACAAGTGCCAGCTACGCTCCAAATGGATAGCTGCCAAAAGGCCCCTCCCGTCGAGTGAGCTCCTCATTTTAACAAAATGGCGCTAAAACCTGTAGGAGTTAAGAAATTACGTAGATAGTGACCTAAGAATGGGGAGGGCATTTTACTAACATCTTAGCACCTAAGCCAATTAACAATGTCTATTTGTCTATATCTTGATTTTCTTCAATGATGTAATAATGCCTTTATAAGGGTCTGCGCACCCATTTTCTGTCAGAAGCCATTAAACTTCTCTGAAGTTCTTTCATTACCCTGAACCTTGTGTCTCAGTGTGAATTTACTTCTGCGTGCACGCAACTTTATTATCTTTAATTTGGACAGGAACAGATAGTCATTCAAACTAATTGGTTTGCAGTAAATTATCTAGAACAGAAGAAGGTCCTGGGTATCATAATTGGGATGGTCTGGAAGAGGTAGAGAAGTCGAGGGAGAAGGTTTAATTTTAATACATTGATTCTCCCGAACCAGGATATGCACAGACCGCCCCAGTTCGTCATGTCGTGCTGTAGTGTGCGGAGGATGGGTACAAAGTTCTCCTGGAATAGGCGCGTCGTGTCTCCGGTGAGCCAGATGGTCTTATGTAGGGTTTCAAGGGTTGCCACTTGTTGTGCCAGGTCCGTGACTGCTTGCCTTTGGGATTTCTTCCGTTGAGTACAATAACGTATATGAGATGGCCGTGAATCATGCATTTGTGTGCCTCCCATATCATCAATGGTTCCACGTCTGGGGTGGTGTTCTCCTCAAAGTACTTCTGCAGTGCATCACTCATCTCCATTGTCGCCTCCAGCTCCTCTAAGACTTGCTCATTGAGCCCCCACTGCCTCTCCCGTGGTCTGTACAGCGGGGAGGCAATCTTAGTCCAGACCGGTGCGTGGTCCGACCAAGTTGCCGCGTGGATCCCACTGGATTGCAAGAGCGAAAGATATTCAATGGGGAGGAAGATATAGTCCAACCGACTGTAGCGGTTGTGGACCGTGGAGTAGTCCCTCCCTAGTGTGTGGGCCACTCGCCATGAGTCTGCCAACCCCGAGTTCTTGAGGGCCAGGAGGGCCTTGCGTTGGTAGGAAGCTGGTAGGGAGCTAGTTCCCAGGGAGGTGTCCAGACACGGGTCCAGGGCCAAGTTGAGATCCCCCGCCAGGATCAGCATGCCTTCTCTAAAGCGTTCCAGGGCGTGCAGTGTGCGTGTCAGGAAGTTATGTTGTGCTGTATTGGGCGCATAGACACACGCTAAGGTATAGGGATGTCCAGCAATCGTGCCCTTCACGAATATGTAGTGGCCCTCTGGGTCCGCCAGTTCAGCGTGGCTCTGAAAGGGCACCGTGCGGGCTATGAGAATTGCCACCCCCACCTTTTTAGCATGTGGGTGGTTGGCAAAGTATCTGGTTGGAAAGCGGGCGTCCCGCAACGCCGGTGCATTTCGCCCCTGGAAGTGAGTTTCCTGGACGAATGCAAGCGACGCGCGTGCCGCCCACAGAGTGCGGAGAAGGTGTGAGCGTCGTTCCGGTGCGTTAAGGCCCCGAACGTTGTTCGACCATAGGCAGAGATCTGCCTGCTTAAAGTGACCGGGTATTGTCTGCGAATATGGGGTGTGGAGGGGGAGGGTAGGCAGGTAGCGGTTGAGAAGAGAGAGGGAGAGCGAGAGAGGGAGGGGGCGAGAGCGTGAAAGAGAGAGAGGGAGAGAGAGAGGGAGAGAAAGAGGGAGAGAGAGGAAGGGGGTACTGAGAGTGAGGACCAGTCAGGAGTCAGGTCCCAGCGGTGGTCAGGTCCCGCGACCAGGAGTCGACCCAAGGTCCTCGACCTCACCCACCCCCGTCCCCGCACCTCGTCCGAGTTGTGAGGTGCCGGTAGTGGCTCAACGCACTTGGTGTGTACCGGGGGAGTCAGTCCAACTGTCGTCAGTCGTCCCCAGGTCGCACCTTGTGTGCCTGTACAGGTGTGCGTCTGCCCGTGGGGCGTGACTGTAGTCAAGGGTCTGTCGCCCTGTGTCGTGTGTGGTACTGAGGTGTCCTCAGCCGTCCATAGCCGTCACCGCCCTACCAGGTAGTGTATTCCCCACAAACGTATACTATGAGGGTGCGGTCAATATTCATAACAAAATGTGTGAGAGCATTGTGGATGGGCAAGGGTCCCAGGTGGGATCCGGTTTCTGCATCGCAAGTACACCCCGCGTGTCCCCCCGCTATTATATGTTTCCAATCCGGGCGTGCCCCGCGGGCCAAACCCCCCCCCAGCAAGGCTGGAGACCCGCAAGCCCCCACCAGCCCCCCCCCCGGGGCACCGGGCACTTACTTTAGAGTTCAGTCCTCCGCTCAAGGTGCACCGGGCCGGAACAGAGTGCTTCATAATGCAAACCCCCCACCCCCACCCCCAACACCAAGGGAAGGGGAGGGGAAGGAAGAGGGCGGAAGAAAGGAGGGGGGGAAAGGAGGGAAGGGGGAGAGACCCACCAACCGCTATAGTTCATGCAGAGGGGCCACGGGGCGTCTGCTCTGATGCAGGGTCAAAGTCCCAGATCACTCCTCCGCCCCCGCTGGTCCTCCCCAACGGCGCGGCGGCGACATCCGGCCCAAATGGGTAGTGGAGGGCTGCAGGCCTGCATCTTCTCCTCTTCGTGGGCCCAAGGGTTCTTCTAGCAGCCAGTTGCGGATCCGGATGGGTGGAAGGTGAAGCGTCCTAACGAATCTCAGGGCATCATCTGGCATCCTGAGTGTGTGCCAGGAGGTTCCCTGCCGTGCTTGTAGGCTAAAGGGAAACCCCCACTTGTAGGGGATCCCCTTGTCACGTAGGGCCGTGGTGATAGGCCGCAGCGTCCTTCTAGCATCTAATATGAGGCCGGAAAGGTCCTGGAAGAGCGCCAGGTCAGCTCCCCTGAAATTGACTGTCGGTAGGTTCCTGGCCGCCGTCATGATCTGCTCCTTCTGCGGGAAGGAGTGGAGACAGCACACCACATCCCTGGGCCTGCCGTCTGGTCTAGCTTGTCCCAAGGCGCGATGGGCCCGGTCTATGCGGATGTCGGGTGGTGCATCAGGTCCCAAGAGCTGGCAGAAGAGATGCTGTAGAGTGACCGCCAGTGGTTCTGTGTCAGGCTCCGGCCGGCCCCTGATTCGGACGTTGTGCCTCCGGCTGCGGTTCTCCAGGTCCTCCACCTGGCGTCTTAAGTTCAGCAGCATGTTACCCTGTCTGGTGGCCGCTGTCTCTGCTGCTCGATGCTGCTGGCAGCAGATCCGTGCTTCCGCCTCCACTGCGTCCACTCTTTCCGTGAGGGCCGTGAGGTCTGTTCGGAGGCTTTGCAGGTCCTCCTGGACCGCCTCCCTTATCTCCCGGACCAGTGCCCCCGTGTCTGCTTTGGTGAGCATGCTGCTCCCAATCCTGGAGAGCTCAGCCCTGATGGACTGAAGGGCGTCATCTGAGCTAAAGTCGGGCATGGAGTCCCCCCCGCTGGTTGCACTGGGGGAGACAGCCGCCATATTGTCTGAGGGCGCAGTGCCCCGGAGCCCCGCCGGAGTGCTGATAAAATCATCCAGGGTGCCCGTTCCGCGTCTCGGAGACCCCGAGGACGTGCTCCCGGTTCCGGTGAGTTTCTTTGTCCGCACCATCGTCTAAATTGTGGGGTATTTGGCTAATTATGGTTGTTTAGGCCTTGGAGCTCGGCTAGTGTGCGACTGCCGCCATCAACATCCAGGCCACGCCCCCTCAAAGAAGATGAATTTAAAGATATTATCATTTATCAAGACCTGTCTTTTTATACCAGATCACAGCGAAAGAGATTTACTCCTGCCACAAATATTCTGCTCAAGTATAACATAAAATATTCATGGGGCTATCCAAATAAACTCAAGAGTATAACTGATGGACAATTGGAAATATTTGAATCTATACAGCAAGTCCAGAAATGGTTGAAATTAATAAACATAAACAGCGACATTCCTGCTTAAATAATTAAAAGACGAACATGTGAGAAAGAAAAAAAGGAAGATTAAAAGATCTACAATCAAGATTAAACATGGAATGTTCTGATTGATTTAACTTAAAGGTTCCCGGAAAAGAAAAAACTGGAAAACAGAAAAACAAGAGAGGATTAAAAGAAGAGGAAGAGAAGATAGAGAAGAACGTTGATTTTTATTTATTTATTTTTGGAGGTTATAAGCAATTATTATAACATTTCCCAGATACTATGAGGAGAGATGGTAAAGGCACAAAAAAAATAAAAAAATACGAAAGATATAAATCACTATGTAACAACTGAGATGGGAAATTTAGAATATCATGTAATATTTGTAAAGAGTCAAATTAGGAATAGTGTTGAATAAGATAGTATATAATGTCACTTTTGATAAGATTGAAAGAAGAAAAACACTAGCTTTTTTTATATAATTAAAGAGATACATACAGAGTGAAGAATCACATGAAAGTGAAAAAGGCTAATTAAAACACAAATAAGGATACTAATAACGTAAGAATTTTTTTTTTCCTCCAGAAAAATAGTTGATAAGAGAGTCTTTCAGGAGACACTATAAGTATATAATATGTATTATGTATTTTTTCACTTGTAAAATAGAAAATGTAGACTTTATGTGGAGGGATGGCAAATATATATAAAATATGAAAGATAATTCACTATGTATTGATAGGGATGTGAAATTTAGAGCACTATATAAACCTGTAAAGGGTTAAATTATGAAGGGGAAGAGAAGGAAAAAGGGGGGAGAGAGTTAAACAAGATTCTATATAAGACACTTTTGATATGGTGGAATTGAAGAAAATCACTAGTTAGTTTTATACAGTAAAGAGAATTCACTCTTAATTAACTAGGGTTAAATTTTTGAACGGGTTAATTAAAATATAATTAATGATATTAATGTATGCCATCATTTGTTTTTATTTTTTTTAATTGTACGTTTTAGTTAATGATTTTGAACTTCTCCTTTCTTTGGATTTGTGCCTTGCCAAATATAGTAGAGGATATTATATTGAAATATAGAAGAGGGTTAAGAGGAGGAAAGAAGGAAAGTAAAAGAAACGGAAAGAAAAAGAGCAAAAAAGGAAAATGAATTTTAATGAGAACCTTTAAAATCAGGAAGAATTTATTAAAAAAAAATGTAATATTTTTTAAAAAATAGTAAAGAGATAGTCCCTTACTCTTCCCTAGTCGTTGACTTACGCCCTCCCGGCATAAATCCTGATAGGATTTTTGTGTGTAAATAAGATACACAGTAAGAATAGTGTTATGACTCTTTTTAGAGCCCATTGTAAAAATGTTTTAGTCTTGTTAAATGTATGTTTTCTATGTATGTACTTGGTATTTATGATTTTGTTATGCGTTTTAGTCACCGAGAGCCCCTTACTTAGCTCAGGAAAAACAATTAGAATCATAAAACATGGTTACATTAGTTTCAACAAAAATACAAGGTCTCAATATTCCACAAATCTCTCACAAGACTATCTGAGAAAGGAAAGGATACAAGTGGCATTTATACAGAAGACTTGTTGGAGGCAGATAGATGAGAAAAGATGAAATAGTAAGGAATTCCCTTTAAAAATGTGTGCATCTAGAATAACAGGATAAAAATGTGGGGTAGCAATTCTTTTTTCAAAGTATTTAAAAATTAATGTTAAATTTATTGACTTTGACCCGGAAGGTAGATTTATTATCACTGTATGTACTATTAATGATGAACTATGCACCCTAGTAAATTCATACCTTCCCAATAAAAATCCTCTAAGTCTCCTGAGACAAGTACTAAAAAGATTAGAAAAAGTATATGTAGGCTTGTATATAATTGCAGAAGATTTAAATTGTAGTCATGATCTATTGCTAGATAAATTTCCAAATAATAAAGTACAACATGATAAAAAATTCTAAAAGACGCCAGAAACTTTAATAACATCATGAAAAAGGAAGCTTTTTTTTTTTTTTAATTCTTTATTTTTTCTTGTGCATAGATTAACAACAAGTGTGCAGTGCCACGACAGCATCTACAGGCAATTGCATGACATTTCAATGTGTGGCATTTTAGACAGCACAATTTTTTTTTTTTTTTATAACATGAGCGTTATTCGACAGTAGCATTTTATAATGTAACACGCTAGACTAGATATGCATATATCAAAACTTGTTGTGCTTGAGATTGTATGTGCGTAGCTTGTATTTGATGTGGCGTATAGGCATTGAAAGCACAGTAAGTAGTGTGACAGGTTATTATACTAGCAGAGGTGTCTTTATACTGTGTGAGGCAAGCTAGTTGTTTGGTTGCGTACCTATATAATGCCTAAGAAAAAAGAAAATTAAAATATTAGCTAGATCCCACCTAGTAATGTGTGCTGTTGTTTGCTACTTAACATCGCAGTGGGAGATATTGAGTAAGCACTAAAGAACATAAACAATACAAAAAACAAAAAAAAACACACATGCTATGGTACAAGCTTATAGCATTAGAACACCCTGCCGCCCCACCAACAGACGTTTGAGCTCCAATGTCCCTGGCAGTGGAATGAGGCAGGAATCTGCACACCCGGCATGGCCCTTGGTGGAATGCGCAGTCATTGTTGTTCGGTGTCCGCTTTGTGAAGGTGGAGGGTTGGGGAGTGATGTGCACCTCTGCCGGTGCCTTCTAGCTGTTTGAATCCCTCCTGCTGCGGCTAGAAAGTGTTGCCGTGTGAGCGCTGTGGGCTTGTTCTGAAGGCTGGAGTGGTGTCATGCCTCGTGTGCCGTTTGCCTGAGTCAGCCAGAGGGTTTGTCAGCCGGGTCTGGTGAGTTGGTGCTGCGTCGCCCCTCCGCCCTCTTTGCCATGTGCGGGTGCAAGAATCATGAAGCATTGGTTTGGCATGTAACATTGTGGTGTGGCTCTGTGTCGGCTGGAAGGATCAGTAAGTCAGTTTTTGGGGCCTAAAAAGGCAGAAAGTTGTCGGAGCCGTTGTTCCATGCCACCAGCCAGCCCACCAGGAAGCTTTTTTTTAAGTTGGCTTTAATAAAGAGATTAAATATTTAATCATAGAACATTTAACCAACACTTTTAATAACACTGTAGACAAAGCCAGATTTTCAAGTGAGATGTTAAAAGCAAACATCCTACCAGTACTGAAACCTGGGAAAGATCCAACAAACGTAAAAAGTTATCGACCCATATCTCTTATAAATGTGGATACCAAATAGTTTTCTTCTATTATAGCACAGAGATTAAAAACTGTACTAAACGCCATAATTCATTTTGATCAGATAGGTTTTCTCTCTTTAAGAATGGTTAGTAATAATATTAGAAGTCTGATTGATGTAATAGATTCAGCGGATAAAAATGGAGATCCCATGCTAATCCTGTCCCTCGATGCCGAAAAGGCGTTCGACAGGGTTAGCTGGGATTTCATGGAATCTACTCTTAAAGCATTTTGTTGTCAGGCTGGATACCAACTAGGGATGTGCATGGGCAAAAAAATTTGGTTCGGTTCAGCACTTTTGAAATTCGGGACTTCGGCTCGGCGATTCGGGAATTCAAGGGGTAAGGGGTAGTGTTAGGGTTAGATTCCTGTCATCATTCCCTTAATTTTACCTCTCTTTCTTGTTTTGACACTTTTCAGAAATCCGAAGCACTTCTGCAATTCTGTTTGGATCGGCACTTCTGAAATTTGGCAGTTCGGACATTCGGAAGCATCCGAAAGGCCAAAATTCATCTGAATGTAAATTCGGACTGAAACAAATTGCACATGTCTAATATCAACTGCAATGTTATCATTTTGGTTATTAAATTGGTTTGAATTCAAAAACGGTATGAGACAAGGCTGTCCCCTATCTCCTTTCCTGTATATACTAACTATTGAAATATTAGCATTAAGACTTAGACAAAATAATATGATAAAGGGTCGTTCTACAACACAAAGCAAGTTAAAACTCTCACTTTATGCAGATGATTTTATCCTTTTAAATATAATCCTTCAACATCACTTCCATATACCATGGAAGAATTCGACACATATAGTTAAGCATCAAACTACAAAGTGAATAATCTAAATCCTACTGCTACTCTATATATTTATATTTCTAAAAATGATATAAAAGGTTATCAACAACATTATGATTTTCTACACCTCGAGATATTTACATATTTGGGGATAAAGATATGCAAAAACTTAAAAAGATTAATGTATATAAATTTTATGGAACTTCTTAAAGAATGGCATTGTTTGAAGGTTTCCAGGTGCGGCAGATCAATATCCGGAAGTCATTTGAACTCCTGAAATGTATATATATGTTCAGGATGTTGCCACTGACGTTCCCACACCATGGTTGACAATACTGAAGTCCGCCTTCTCAAACTTTGTTTGGAGAGGGAAAAAAACAAGAATTAAGAACTCTATATTGTCAAATAAAATTGGGGAAGGGGGAATGGGATTCCCGAACATAATAAAATACTATGAGGCGGGCATAGCCATGCATATAATTATAATTCAAGTACCGCAGAGTAAATTAGAGACATGATATAGTATACAAATGGAAGCCATTCAGATTAAAAAAAATCATTAGATTTAATATAGAACACAATAAAATGGGATTATTCAAATTCTTTTATATTAAATCAAATAATGCCTATATGGATAAAATTGAATATGAGACTGGGATTGAAAAAAACAATATTAGATTTTTTGAATATTGATGTATTAGAGCAATAAATGATATTTCTTTAAAATTCTGGAAATTTAGACAAAAACAATAAGATAAAATCTTTCAATCTTTTCATGAGAGAGTTTCAGTTACCAATGAGTCCTTCTCTTATATTAGATTGGATCAAACCTCAATAGAAACCTCCTATATTGGATCAAACCTCAATAGTATCAAATGGTAATTTATAGAACATTATAAAAGGTATACTAAAAGGTAATAGATCAAAACATCTGTTCTCCCGATGTGTAAGATTGATGGGAGAAAATAAAATATATATAACACCTCCCGCAATAAAAAAATTAACTAGAGATTTAAAGATTAATATATGTTAAAACGATTGTTTTGTTTTTTTTCTAGTCAAAAGATCAATAAATATGAACATTCTCTGTCACTGATCGAAACATAGTTTAAAGTTGTAAATTTGTGGTATATGGCCCCAACATGATTATCAAAATTCACATATGGAGTAAATGAAAACTGTCGGGAGATGTGGGGCCCAAAATGGGAATTATATCCATATGTGGTGGTCCTGTACAAGAGTGTAGAGTATTTGGAAATGGGTTCAAATAATATTCAGTTTATGTAAAGTTAAACTTCCTATAACTCCAGAGTTCATGTTACAACATTTAAACTGGCCCAATTTAAAAAGGTCAGAACAATTTTTAATAATTTTTAATAATTTAAAGTCTTTTTTTCCCTCAAATAAGCTCACAACTAACTTTTTAGCTGAAAATGGAAAAGAATTATACTAAATATCCAAATAAAGCTTCAGACTTATGGGATATATGGGAAAAGGAAATTGGAAAAATGGCTAATACATGTTTCATAGATAAATAACATATAAAGGGCAATTGAAGAGTTGGGGACTCTCATGACTGAACGAAAAATATTATTGGTAACCCTTCTTGGAAGGATCGAGTACCAGATTCTTTCTTAGGTATGATTTTATGTGTAAATGTTTTTTGTTTTTTTAAAATTATTTTATTGTTTTTGATATATGCAATATTTAATCAAAAGGAAAGGGAAGGAAGGTGGAAAGGAAGAAAAAAGAAAATGAAAGGAGGGGGGGTAAAAGGTAGAAAAAGGGGAAAGAAAAGAGAAACTAAATAGTAATACAGTAATATTTTAAACTTGGGATAGCCTTCTTGACAGATGTTTTGTATATTAGAATCAGTGGCGGCTCTAGACTTTGTGAGGCCTTAGGCAAAACTCAAACATGAGGCCCCCACTAACACCCAAAGTGAAAAAAAAATAATTAAATAGAGGTTACATTGTGTGTATATAAGGTGTTGAAGCTGTATTGGACAAGCTGGTCATGGAAGCCTTAATGAAGATCAGTTTGAACCACTGGAAGATATCAGATTTTACATTCGGATTATTAAAACCATCTTTTTGATTGCAATTACTTCAGCCAGGAAAGTCTCTGAGTTACAAGCCTTATTCTCCACAGAACTATATACAGTCTTCCATTAAAAGCGCGGGATCTTAATTCCTAGGCATGACTTTTTTCGAAAGTGGTATCTAGATTCCATATTGAACAGGAAATAGTGCTTTCACCTTTCTTTCCTCATCCTCTCATCCACTTAGCTATTTTTTGAGCAAAAGGGCTCCATAGACCCGCCTATTGGTGCCATCCTTTCGAACCGCCATTTCATCCGCATTCTCTGGTGTAGCAGGTAATGCATGCAGGGGAGGTCTGTGTTCTAAGCGCTTCCAGAACTCTTGGCAGATCCAGTCATACCAAGCCTGAAAGTGCTTTCTCCAGGACTGGATCACCAAGCTCTCTCGAGACTGTGATAATTTGTTTCTGTAATTATCTATGAAGGCACTTACTGGCCCCAGAAAAAAACAAAACACAACTATAAAATAAGCCAAAACCTTACCTACAATCCACTTCAGTTTGAAGTTGTCCATGTGGCTATACCAACTACATGTAGGAGTGTGGGAGAGGGAGAGCTGCATGGAGGAAATACATTTTATTATTTATTTTTAAAACACCTTTACCCAAATATATAAACTAAACAGTTTGCATTCTCTGGCACGACTCTAAGACACACACATCCACCACCACCACCACCACCTACTAAAGATTTCAACTCCAATTATTTGCGTGCCAGAGGGTGTACAGTATATGCTTATTTCACCCCTCTTTCTCCCATGGCTCCCTTTGCACTGTAATCATTGCCACTAGTAGAATGGTTTACTGGTATTAATTGTGGAGCTAAGCTAAAAGTAGAACTTGTCATGGTGGTTGGAGTAATTCTTTTTTGAAATATATATTTTTTAAATTGATTTTCAAATATTACAACAAGTTAATATCATAAATAACAGACATGACAAACATGACCAAAAAAAAAAAAAGAGTATGCATGTATGAACTAACATAACCATATTCATGTTTAGAAAAGACAAACAGCAACAAACAAATTCCTGCAGAAGAATGAGTGGGGAGTAGTAGGAAATGCCCATTTAAGATTAGAGAAAGGACTGAGGCACAAATTGTGCATCTATTCGTCAGGAGCCAGAATCCCAAATCACAATTTCTCGATGTGTTCCAACCAACCTTTAAACTTAGCACATGAGGACCTAGAGATGCCCATTTCCATTTTAATTTGGAAAATGAACTGTTTTTTAAATGCAAGCCAGGTAGGAGCTAAAAACATCTTCCAGCTTCTGGCGATCAACATTTTGGCCGCAGTTAAAATGTGAATAATAATAGTTGACGATGTACCAAACATTTTTTGGATATTTAATTGTAGTAAAAAGAGACGAGGATGAAATTCAATTGTCTTTGAGAGTACAGTTTGGATTTTATTATGTATCATGTTCCAAAATAATTCAATAGGAGGACAATCCCACCATATATGCAAAAAATCTCCTCTATGAGCTAAGCATCTCCAGCATCTATCTGAAGTCGTTGGATAAATCCTAGACAACCTGCTTGGAACTAGGTACCATTTATCTAACAATTTGTAGTGAATTTCAGTCAAATTTAAACAGTGGAGTTTTTTATGGACCCTAGTTAAAGATTCTGTCCACTCCTCACAGCTAATCTGAATCTTTAAATCTTGCTCCAACTTTTTTATTACCGGTAGGATAGGTTTCTTGGGGTCACCCTTAATCGCATCCAAGCAACCTGCCACCAAGTTATTAATTTTCATGTTTTTAATCAGATTCTGTAGTTTAGTCTGTTTGGTGGATCTAACTGTGAATAGATGATCTTGGAGGTAACCTTTTATTATGATGTAATTGAAAATCTCTCTATTGTGTAGACCGAAATCCTCCTTTAATAAAGTAAAATCTTTAACCCTATTGTTCTCGAGCCATTTCTCAATTTTGTTAAGACCGGGATTTATCCAACTGGAGAGGTTTAAGTCTTCAACATTATACATAATTTGTTTTATAGTTAGGCATAGGAGAATTTTATCTTGGATATGCCATACAGTTTTTATTTTTTCCCATGTGTGCATGAGATTGTTAAAAACCAAACATCTAGAAGAAATCTCTGTGCGATCTTGGTTTGGTTTTTTTATCCTTTGTCCGCCAAAATATTGGCCCCAGTTCTTGGTTGAAACCACCCAATTTGGTCAGACACATTTCAATCTTATACTATACTTCATCCTTCGCGTTTTCAAATTGGGTGTAAATAATATTGGCTAATGTACATGCTTTTTCAGTAGTCTTTTAGCTGAGGTACCCCTAGCCTGCCTTGATTTACTTTCAGTGCTAAATGACTTGCACTAATATGGGGGTGTTTGCCTAGGCAAATAAATTTTGTTAAAAGAGGACTGAGCTAAATCAAGCCAGCTGTCTGAACAACACACGGGAATCATACAGAAAATATAAATCCATTCTTCCCCACCAAGATACTTCCATAAATTTCTACCCTTTTAGTTTTTTATTAGTATATCTCAACAAAGACTAGAAATTAACCTCCAATATGTTATCTCCACACCTAAAAATTTAAATGATTTACTAGAGCAATCAAAACCAAATAGGTCAAATAGGACCTTCCTATTGTCACAAGATAAATTCAGGGGGCGGGGCCTGACCGCCAAGCTGGATGGACGTGGAACAGCTCGGCTCCTCCATGAAACCTAAACATTTAGCTTCAAATAACTCTTCCTCCCCTGAAAAAGCCACACAGCTGCTAATAGGCGACACAGGGGACCTGAGCACAACTCCTGGTGCACATACCGACCCCCGTCCTACCGGCGATGCTGATTACTGGGCAGCTGGGATTGCGGCCCGTCGCGAGGCTCTGGCGGAAGATGCGGCCGGTCTCCCGTGCTTAGCCCAGCGGGACCTCTCGCACGCCTACTGAGGGCCCCGTTCTCCCCCCCTGTGGGCCGGGGTGGTTATCCCGGACCCCACCGGAGAAGCAATGACCACTCATGACGCTTGGGCGGCGAGCTGAAAGACTAGGGACCGCATGGCGAAACCCAAGATGGCCGCCGCGTCCCTCACTAGTTGGAGAATGGAGGTGGCAGCAATAGAGCAACCGCTGGGCACTGTTTGGAAACAGAGGCGGACCAGAACACCAAGCACTGACTTTGTCCCGCAAACAACAACACACTCTTTCCACCCACCGGACGACTCTAAGGAGGGCACATTCAGCATGTAAGCACAGCTTATATATTATCTGAGGCAACATCTCACATGGTCTCCGGTAGATCTGCGGGGACTCACTTGGGACTATAACCCTGAATCGGCACAGAAGTGCAACGGACATAGGGCACAAGCCTCTTTTCATACTTGAGGCTGAAGCCTGCAGACATGAGACCAAACGTACTCCTGGCCAACGGGTGCCTGGGCACTCACGCAACCAGCGGAGAACACCAGGGACTTGATTACAGTCAGGACACCAGCCGACCCCGCACAGCTAAGGAGTAACTAAGTGACTGCTAACCCTGTATAACCACAATCAAAAGCCCAGCAGAACGCTTTGTGTCTTCTGTTTTAGTTTTTATTCATACTGTTATGTCTAGCATTATTGCAGCTGACCCTATTCAGCAGACCCTCATGTAACTCATTTAAAAATAGATAAGCCTACATGTCAGTTTATCCAGCAAACTCAGAGGCTCGCTGCCCCCTGGTGGTTAAATTTAAATCCAAGCAGTGTAGAAAATCTATACCTGTCGTTAACTTGCATAGCCTGTAACTTAAGAACCATATCCACACTGCTCAACTTAGCATGCATAAACTAGCTATAAAAGTTCTATCCACTTGTACCAAACCTGTTATATCTCAAAAATATAAATGTGCTGTTTGCTCTGCCATGACACTGTATGATATTGAATAGCTTGTACACACCGTCGTGGCGCTGCAAGCATGTTGTAACCATAAGCACAAGAAAAATAAAGAATAAAAAAAAAAAAAAAATCATGGACAGAGCAACAGATTTTTTAAAATTTAATTTATACCCAGAAAGTATTGAGAACTCATTAATAATCATCATAAATCTATCCATAGAAGAAATCGACTCACATAATGTCATCACAACATCATCAGTATACATTGTGACTTTAATGTCTTCTATCAGCACCGGGAAACCTTTACTCTGATTATCTGCCCTAATTGCCACAGCTAGGTTCAACTATCATTAAATAAAGTATAGGCAAGAGTGGACAGCCCTGCCTAGTTCCATCTTCTGGGAAAACCACTGCAATGAAAAACCAGCGCCTAATATTCTTGCCATAGGAAAAGTGTATAATGTCATGTTAGAATTAAATATATTCCAGAGAGTCCAAATGCTTCAAGGACCTGGGCCATGTAATCCCATCTGACTCTGTCAAATGCCTTTTCGGGATCCAATGACAGAGTCAGGAGGGAAACTCCATCTTGCTGTGCCATATCTAATATATCGATAATTCTTCTGATATTATGCACGGAAGATCTACTCTTAATAAAACCGGTCTGGTCTTTATGGATAATTGAAGGAATAATGTTATTTAGTCTAGCTGCTAAAATAGAAGCGTACAATTTCAAATATACATTTAGAAGGGAAATAGGCCTATAATTTCCAATCATTTCTTGGCTCTTATTCTGCTTAAGTATGGAAATAGTATGGGCTTTTAACATTTCCCTTGGTATATCTCCTGTTAAACTGATCTGATTAAATACCTTAGTAAGGATCCCTTTAATATTGTTTGCTAATGACGAATAAAAAAAATTACTAAAGCCATCTGGTCCAGGTGATTTATTCGCTTTGAGATTTCTTATGGCGGTATCCACTTCATTTAGAGTAATATCTTCATTAAGTTTGGTCAGTTGCTCTGCGGAAATTTTAGGTAACTTATGTTTATATAAAAATTGTGAGAAATGAACAGGGTATTGTCTCTCCGGTAAATTATACAAGGCCAAGTAGAAATCCTTCAAGACTTCACCAATTTTTTTTCTGGATTTAGGAGATTGTTACTGCCATGAATAATCTTAGAAACTATTTTCTTTGCTCTGTCATTTTTTAATGTATTGGAGAGTAGTTTATCAGCTTTGTTCCCTTTATAATACCATGTTCTCTTAAGGCGTTCAAGAGTATATATTTGCTTTCCGAATTAAAATATTATTAATCTGGTTCCTAATGACCATCAATCTGTTGCTCTTTTTCTTTGAGGGACTTCTCCTGTTTTCCCTCTCCAAACAGTCTAAGTTTATATACAATTCAGACAGATTCATATTATTTCATCGTTTTTCTTGACTACCCAGTTTGATTAGGTAGCCTCGAATAGTACATTTAAAGGCACACCATATCATTGGCGAGAAAGAGAAAAAAAATCTTATCTCATGTATAAGGATTCAAAAGTGCCACTAGTGTACAGTAATAAAAAAGTAAATCCGAACTCAACAATTATTACTCCAACCCAATCCATATATCGATCGCCTATCCACCCCTCGCCACCCAACACATGAGTGGGAGAGAGGGGAAGAGGAGATGTTGAGGCAAAAAAAGTGTCCTATTGATAGAGTGCAGTATGAAAGAAAAAGGCTGAGACAGGATCTGCAGAAGAGCAGACCTGATGTCAGTCTTACTACCCTAATTGTAATCGTTAGAATAGAATATAAGTGTAGAGTGCCCTTATTCTTAAAAACACGAAAAACCTATAGAATAAAATAAAATAAATAACTTTATTCCCCTAAAAGGGTACACACATCTAAAAAAACAACACCAAAGTTAAAAATAGGTGAAAAAAGACATTTAAAATATACCTAAAAAAATAGGACCAACTCCTAAAGCTTGAATAGTACAGGTTGTAAAAAACCCTATTACAAAATAGCCAGTAGAGGGTACTGCTCTAGACTGAACTTAGATACAGTTTCCTCTGAGAGGAATATGTTATATCCTTCGAGTTGATGAGCTCAGGCAAACCCTATCAGTACAGATGCCGGATGGTGTGAGAGTATGGGTAGCCTAAGGTAAGTAATAAGCTCAGGGTAACATTGCCTGTATTGCTCTAATTACAGGATATAGATGCAGAAGAATACTTGGGGAGATCCAAAGTATACACCAGACAAAATAGTATAGACATCGGGAAAATGACAATGGAAGAGTACAGTAGGTCCCCTATTAGAGTATCCTCTACATTCACTTAAATATTAAGTTTGACATGTGCTTTAGAAAGAATACTCCCCTAGTGATAATAAGGAGTGAGTATCTATGTGTAGCAACTTCATGTCACCTTGTAAATAAATAGGTGAAACCAAGTGTTAAATATTAAGGTTACATATTCATATTCGACAGCTATACTATTTTTTCTGGGGTATGCTTTGGGTCTCCCCAAGTATTCTTCTGCAGAGGATACTGTATCTAAGTTCAGTCTAGAATAGTACCCCCTACTGGCTATTTTGAAACAGGATTTTTTACAACCTGTACTATTCAAGCTTTAGAAGTTGGTCCTATTTTATTCGGTATATTTTGAATATCTTTTTTCACCTATTTTTCACTTTGGTGTTTTTTAGATGTGTGTACCCTTTTAGGGGAATACAGTTATTTACTTTATTTTATTCTATAGGTTTTTCGTGTTTTTAAAAATAAGGACACTCTACACCTATATTCTATTCTAACTATTTTAGGGGAATAAAGTTATTTACTTTATTTTATTCTATAGGTTTTTTGTGTTTTTAAAAATAAGGACACTCTACACCTATATTCTATTCTAACGATTACAATTAGGGTAGTAAGACTGACATCAGGTCTGCTCTTCTGCAGATCCTGTCTCAGCTTTTTTCTATCATTCTTTCCCTGGGTTATGCCCTTCTCTATCCTACAACCACTACAACTTCGGTGAGAGTTTTTCTCTCACCAACTGTCAGCACTACAGTATGATCCAGCACGTAGAATTGTGTAACACAGAGGACTGATAGGTAACGTATACCGGACCTTAGAATGGCCGGACTAACGTACCAAAGAATAGTCAGGAATTGCCGAGGTCAAGGGATACAGGAAGAGACACAACGATAAGGAAAAGCCAGGGGTCAGGAATGCCAGAAAACAGTGAAGTCAAAAACAATGCCAAAGTCAAATAACCAGAATTACCAGAATCAATAACGCACTCTCGGACAACCACAAGGGAAACCACGACAGGGCACTGAGCAGGATGAGAACTGGGCCTAAATGCCACTCCTCTGGATCTGATAGGGTGTAATCGGCCTTTGACCTCAAAGGCATTTACCAGGTTCCCATTTGCATAATTGCTGCTCAGCACAAATCCTGCTGTGGATTTGATTGCTGCGCAGCACAACTTTTCCTGTCAGGACAGTAATGTTATTCGGCACATCTTTTCCTGTCTGAACAGTAAATTCAATTAGTCAAATTTTTATAAGCGGATGAATACGTGACATTACCCCCCACTTGAAGAACGCCCACTGGGTGGGCAGGACCAGGCTTGAGAGGAAATTTGGCGTGAAAATAGCGAATCTTGCGGCCAGCATGTATATCAGATGCCGGAACCCAAGAACGATTGGCTGGTCCATAACCTTTCCAATCCACCAAGTACTGTAAAGTGCCCCGAGAAAACCTGGAATCAATTATGAAGGAGACCTCATACTCTTCCTGGCCAGAAACAACCAAGGGAGGAGGAGGGACACTTGAGACAGTATATTTATTGTAAACAAGAGGTTTGAGCAAGGACACATGAAAGGTATTAGGAATTTTCAAGGAGACTGGAAGGGTCAGAGAGTACGCAACAGGATTGATCCTACGAAGGACACGAAAAGGTCCAAGGAACCTAGGAGAAAATTTCATGCTAGGGACTTTGAGCCTGATGTT